CCCAATAACAGCTAAAATCCGGTATGGACCTTCACACGTTGGACCTAGCTTTCCGCGTTGAGCTTCCGTGTATTTTGTGTTACTTTCCTTAGAACCAAGTCTCCTACTTTAAAAAACGGAAGTTGGTTGTACCTGAAATAAGCATCAAAGAAACTCATCAACTCGTGCCCGGCCATGGCATCAATCATTTGATCGATATTTGGCAGTGGAAACGAATCTTCCGGACACGCCTTATTAAGATCTTTATAGTCTACACACATACAAACTTTATTCTTCTTCTTAGGAACTACTACTACATTGGCTAACCAATCTGGATATCTTACCTCTCTGACCGAACCAATTTTAAGTAAGCGGGTTACCTCTTCTTTAACGAATTTATTCCTGGCCTCGGCAATACGGCACTTCTTCTGTCGTACCGGTGGTATGTTGGGATCCAAACTCAACTTGTACACGGCTATTTCCGTCGGGATACCTGTCATATCCTTGTGCGACCATGCAAAATAATCAGCGTTAATTTTAAGGAATTCAATAAAACCAGACCTGAGCTCGGGGTGCAGTCCTGTCCCTAAGTGAAAATTTCTTTTTAAGAATTCTTCGAACAATGCCACTTACTCTAGTTCCTCTGCCATGGATTTCGTTGCGTCTGTCTCTTCCGGAACTTGGAAATATCTCGGCATCTGATACTGTTCTGGCGATTTTGCCTCTGGAATAACCTCTTCTAACTCGGGAGTAGGCGCTGGTTCCTGTAATTGCTATGACGTGTACTCCTTCTCTTTGCTACTGGAAACTAAGATTGCATTTATCTCCCTTGCTGCCAGTTGGTCACCTTTTATCTGCTTGATTCCTTCGGGCGTTGGAAACTTCAGCAATTGGTGATAACTGATACGTCAAAGGTACAACTTTCAACTCATGTAGCCACGACCTTCCTAAGATGATGTTGTATCCCATATCACCATCCACTACTTCGAAGAGAGTTGTTTTCATTACTCCTTCAGCGTTCGTGAGCAACAAAATCTCTCCCCGGGTCACCCTCACAGGGTTGAATCCAGCGAGGAGTTTTGTTGCCGGAATAATGCTTCCGGTGAGTTTAACTTGTTCCAATACTCTCCATTGTATGATATTAGCCGAACTTCCTGGATCTATTAGAACACGCTTAATTTTAAAATCTAACACATTTAAAGAGATTACGAGTGCGTCGTTGTATGGTAACAACAATCCGTCTATGTCTTCCTCCGTGAAAGTGATATCGTCCTCCCGGAGTCTTTTGTTGTGAGTTATCGATACTTTAGTCTTTTTTGCCGCCGAAAAGGTGACCCCGTTAATCTCGTTCCCCCCAAATATCATGTTGATCGACTAGCGTGGGGTTTCTTCTACTGCTTTCGAATATTCCGCGTTGTCTATGTTGTGACTCTAATTGTTCTTAGCCCGGTCACTCAAGAATTCTCGGAGATGACCATTCTTCAATAGCGTTACACCTCCTCCCGAAGATGTCGGCAGTCCCATGTCCAGTGACCGTTCACCCCGTGGTATTCACACCATAAATTGGGATCCGTCTGACTGGAATCGGACCTCATAGGTCTTGGGAACCGTGCTTCTTTAATGTTCCTCGTGGCCGACACCAGTTCCACTACGCTGACGTTAAAGTTATATTCTGATAACCTGGGGTAAGAAAAATTTCGAGAACCCGACATTTCTTTATCTTGAAGTGATCTATTTTTTTGACTACGATCAGTCCCTCTGTCAACAGTGGACTTGTTTGTTGCTCGGAAATTTCTGCCACGGCTTTCGGTACGCTCGTAGGGAAAAAACCGACCCCTCGAAAGCTGCCTATCCGCGTCGTAATCATCCTTTGATTTTTCTCTATTCTTCTCTCATCCTTTGGCCGATGATGTAGAACCAACCTGGTCGTCTTCGGTCCTTATCTTTGAATCATACCGGTTGTGAACATCTGCCCAGGTTATTTCTTGAAACTCAAGCAGGCTCTCCTTCAGCTTCTAGGAAGCGTCTGAACTTCTCAGATTCAATCATTTGGTGAATGCTTCAGCTGCCCATTTATCCGGGACGCCCGGGAGTAATATTTTTTCTTTCGGAAATCGGGTAACAAACTCTCGTAATAATTCAGATTCTCCTTGCGCGATTCTGAATATGTCGGCCTTCTGGGATTGCACCTTTCTGGCCCCGGCGTGAGCTTTAATGAAAGAATTCACGAGCATCTCAAAGGAATCTATGGAGTGCTCGGGGAGTAATGAATACCACGTTAGGGCTTCCCTCGTGAGAGTTTCGCCGAATTTCTTTAGCAACACAGATTCAATTTTGTGAGGAGCTAGATCATTTCATTTCACCGTCGTTGTGTAGGTGGTAATCTGTTCCTGTGGGTCTGAAGTTCCATCATACTTTGGAACTTCAGTCATTTTGAAATACTTCGGGATTAGTTCTGGTGCCGCACTTGGCTTGTACGGTAATTGAACATACTTCTTTGAGTTTGGGCCTTTCAATACTGGTGGTGTGCCAGGGATTTGATCCATGCAGGCGTTTACTTTCCTTATGAACCGTAAAAGATCATCTTTGAATGAATCGTTCTCGTTGTTAAGAACTGATCTGCTTCCCCCAGCCCCATCGGAGCCAATTTCACCCATGAGAGTGTTGTTGTCGACTCTCTGCATTGTTTGGTCTGCGGGAACAACAAGAGGAATTGGATCGCGCATGTTTGCATTATTCGAAGCATCTGATAGCGCCTGTTTTAGTTCCATCATAACCTGATCCTGTCGCGTGAGATGACCTATGATGATTGCATGTTGCTCTTGCAGGATCCTCACAGCATACGCTACTTGCTCCTCGTCAGCATCATCGGGAGTTGTCTCCCGAACCCGTCGAGGATATCTCTTGTCATGTACCGGTGTGGCATCATTCCCCTAATTGCGAGTGTCATTAATTGAGTCATCGAAATGAGGCTGATCCCCTCGAATTCCAGGGTTGTGAGCATCATTAATAGTGTTATCCGCCATTTTTTGTGATTTTTTGTAAGACAAAATAATCAAAACACGTTAGTAAAAAAAGCCAGGATCAATTTAATTGCACGACTCTCTAGGCCTCACTGTGGGCACCAAACTATTTATCCGTAAAATGGTACAGTTGAATTATACGCGGTTCTAGACAAGTGAACCAATTTGATCCGAAAATAATACGATAATCGAAAAATACATAATACTTAGCCTTAGAATATAACTGAAATAGCAAAGATAGTGATTTCGTAAACACGATTTCCGAACACAACAATGATAAGATCAAAAAGCAAGAAAGTGAAATTGTGTAAAGCTTTGTATAGAATATAGTATATGTTCTTGCTAGAAAATTCGTCCCTTACAAGTTACAATAATAACATAACTCACTATTTATAGCTACGTCTAGGAAAAACGGTCCTAGGATCATACCCTTCTTCAATGCCAATTTTGAGGGTCATTGATGAAGATGTAACGCTGAACATAAATGCCAAATTTTCTGTAACAGACCGTCACTCTTAATGCTGTAGAATATTTCTTAGTAAATGCTACAGGGCGCAGAGCATTTAATACACTTTTACGATCGTTATCCTCTCCGGTGACAAACAGAGTGGCTGTGTTCGGTCCTCAACCATGCCATCTTGGATTCACGTGTCCTCCTTTTAGCGAGCCACATGTCATATCATATTTTACCCTATACATAAATATAATTATTTTTGGTCAATTAGTCAATTTTATATTTTGCCCAAAGTTTCCCAAAACTATAAGTAAAATCAAAACAAGACATAAAGACAAACATCATTGCTGAGAGTGAGTCCTTGTTTCACGAGAAACGCATATTTTCTTGTGAATAATAAAGCTTTAAGGTGTCCCTCTTTTATATCACCAGAATCACTACGGCGTCGTTTTAGTATCAATTTCTACTTTGTAAAGTTTACCTTTCGTCCCTCGAGGATTTGCGTAGTTTCGATTGTGCCCTTCTCGTTTTCGATATTTTCAAATGCTTTGTGATTCATATAATGTATAAAATAATTGTTTCCTAATTCTATTTATTCACCTTTTCTCTTTTCAAATATTTCTATCCAGCTCGGAACCATTCAATCTTTTGCCGTATTACTTGTTTGATATTATGTAGTTTCATTTCTTTAAAATCTTTACTACTTTGTCTAAAATTTGTCTTTAGTTGATCCATTTTTATCAATTTCTAAAGTTATGTTGTTTTTCAATATCATTTTTTTAAAAGATCAAACTTATCACCAAATAATTTTTAAACTTAAGCGATATTCTCCAACATAATTATATAGAATCATATTATATGATATTTGATTCAGCAAAAAAGAGATAGGAGGTTGAATTGTAGAGTTATAAACGAGTGATATCAAGTTAAGTTTATATGTTTTAAATTTTGACGTGAATATTATATGAGCCGAAACAAAATTAAAGCCAAGTTTAAACTTAACATGTAAATTTAATAAAATTCAAAAATTAAATAGAGTAAAATTCGAGTTACTTTTGTATAAAATGATGTGTGTGAAATAAAATTTAATAACTTCATGTGTTAAACTTAGACCATGATATAACAATTCACATTAATATAATGTACAATAGCATTAAATTATCCATCTTTCTATAGCCATTGTCATTGGTAGTTGCTACTAAGATGGTATGGACTTTTAATGCAGTCACAAAGGCGAAGTTAGTTAAGTTTATAGGTTCTAAACTTGCCGTCGAACCCATAACTCATTATAATTAGTGAGTTTACAATTAAATATATATTTAAATTTTTTTTAATATAAATATAAGATATAAGCAACACCTACCGGGTTCATTGGAACTCATAACTTATACTCTTCCCGTAAATAAGTAAAAGAAAAAAGAGGGAACAAACCCTCAAATCCAAAGGACTAAATTAATACAAACAAAAAACTATAGGGACAAAAAATGCAAATGTTCTATCATTCCCCCAATTGAAATTCAAACCACCACAAATTCAATTTACAGTGAGAGAAATAAAGGCTCAGACAAAGCAAAAAGCAAACCTTAGAGAGAGAAAGACAGAAGAGAGCTCTCAAAATCTCTCTTCTGCTCCATTTCTTCATAATTTTATCCCATTGTTTTTCTAATTTATTTATATTTATTGTATGGTCTACATATAGTTTTGATTTAATTGAAAACCTTATTAAAAATGGCGGAGCAGAAGAGCAACAACAATAATAATAGGTGGAGTTGGGATGTGCCAGGGTTTCAACCTCGGAAGTCGACGACGGAGCACGAAGATTATCAGAGACCGTCACCGGCGCCGTTGGCTCGCCGGTACTCGATCTCTGCCGCTGCTGCTGCCGGTGCGCCGCCGCATTTTGAACTATCTAAGCACGCTCTCAACTCTAAGCTCTTGAAATTGAAGGACAAATTAAAGGTCCTTATTTTACATGCCAATTTAGTACTTTAGTACTTTATTTGTAGATATTAATGTGTTTTTGTATAATTGAAGTGCTCTAATATACAATGCATTTGGAACTTTATCTCCTTTTTTGTATTTACCCGAGTTCGAAACTAGTGGTAGAGGATTAATGGCTATGTTCATTTATAGCAGTAAGAGTGATTGATTTGATACTAATGTACAGCTAGCGGCGGATNATATGTGTGTGTGTGTGTGTGTGTGTGTGAAAAACTACTAGAATTTTAACAAGTTTCAAATTGTGAAAGATAAAAATTACTGAAGTTTTAAAAAATTTCAAATCTTGAACCTGTAATATTACAAGTATAGCACATTTAGTGCTAGGAACCTTAAAGATGAACACACCGAGTTTTTCTGGATCCATCCTATTAGTACAACAATGTTATTGAGAGGTGGAAAAGTTAGTTATTGAGTTCTTAATTTATTTGGTAGCCAAGTGTTCGATTTTTGAAATTATATTGGATTCTTTTTTTGGTCCTTTTTGTTGGAAATGGTTAGTTTGCTACTAGATTATATGTCTATTTTGGAACTAGCGGTTAAATTATTTAGAGTTGGAAAAATTAGTAATCAAGATTCTAAATTTGTTTTATAAGGTGAAGTTTCTTTCCACTACTGGGTGAAAAATTTCATTTGGAAGTATACTGAATTCCTTTTGGTCGCTATTAGTTGCTAGTGGAGCTTTTCTCTAAATTTGATGTGGTTAGCTCGAGACACAGATGTATATAAATTCTACAGTGCTCTCTAATCATGATAACTAGTTGTCTAAAGCGAGTTTGGCCATTGGATAAAAACTTAAGAATATTAACTTTGGCATGTGGAACTAAGAGATGTTCACTAGCGGTAGAGGGTATATACCTATGTTTATTTATTGTGGTAGTATGCGTGATTGATGCTAGTGTACAATAACAACATAGGGAGATAATTATTAGATCTTAATTTATTTGATAAGCTAAAATTCCTTTTGACTTATGTGGTGAAGTATTCCATTTTGGAATTATGTTGAACTACTTTTGATCCATCGAAAATGGTTGCTTGGCTACAATTCTATGTATGTTTGATCATGTTTGAGAGAGAGACCTCTACAGATTCTAGTATTTACGTCTAGTAATAACTAGCAGCCTAAAGCGAATTCATTTCTTAGATACACAATTAAAATATTAACTTTGGCGTGTGAAACAAAGAGTTCTCCACTAGTTATTACTGAGACAGTAATTAATAGAGACAGAGGATATATACAAATGGTTATTTATAGTGGCCGTACGAGTGATTGATACTAGTGCACATTCACATTCTTGCGAGGTGGAAAAGTTAGACAGAGGATATATACAAATGGTTATTTATAGTGGTCGTACGAGTGATTGATACTAGTGCACATTCATATTCTTGCGAGGTGGAAAAGTTAATCATATAGGTTCTCAATTGATTTGATAAGCTAATTTCTTTCATGTTATAGGGTGAACAATTCCATTAAATTTCTCTCTTGTATCCAGTAATGGTATGTGGAAGTATCTGGTAGGTACAGCAAGTTTTTTGCTAATTGTTAGTGTATTTTGAAGAATCTGCACAAGGTTGCCACACCCTTATAAGCCCATAGACAGGGCTACGTCAAAACCAATGAAGGGTCCGTGTAACATAAGGCGTAGTGCCATAATAATAAGTAAACTAGTAGAAGGAAGTGGAAAGACCATAACAAGCCATTTTCTGGAAGTTAAGATTCTTCTTGGGTTTATTTAATTATCTTATCAAAAAAGATTCTTCTTGGGTTTCTTTAGATATATAGATGAAACTTGAATTGATGAACAGCTCGGGTTACCCATTGTTTTATGGTGTATCTCAGGTTTTTGTTTTCGCTCCTAAATAAGGATATAAACTACTAACATTTTCCAGGTGTATTAGTGGAAAATGGTGAGTTTCACATGAGGAACCTTGGACAGTTTGCTTGCTTTCAGAGCTGATGTTTGATGGATTAGTAACTTTCTCGCATGCCACGTACCAAAACTATAAGTTAAAACCTGGCAGAGACAGTAGTGCAGATTCTATACTTCGTAAACAAAACTCTTCTTCATATTTGGGCAGAGAAGAAACAATGGAAGTGCTACTTATTCTTTTCCCTTCCTTTAGCTGAACCTGGAAAACTTGTGAGGATTTGCCTGGTAAAAGTTTCAGCAGTTGCTGTGAGTTTATACTAATAAGTAAAAGCAGAAAGAGAGAGATGCAGTAGGCGAATGAACTTTGAAGATACCCATATCTAGGAGAGAAAATAGGGAGTTGCATCTGTTTATAGGCACTGTGATTTTTCTTCTTAAAATATACTTATTGCTATCTAACCTTTGAATTAGTAGTGTCAATGTATAAACAGTTGCGAGGAAAGTCCAGATGAAAAAGGGCATTTATTGCATCTCAAGAAAGGGCATACTGGAAGACAAATGGATTCCTTTTTGTCTGTTCCAAAAAAAATTAAGCTAAAAGATATGAAAAGACCCTTATAGCTGTTGAAAAATTTGCATCCAAGTCAAACTTTGTAGCCATAGACTAGTACAAATAAACCCCTAAAAAAAATCTTGGATAGCCAATTCTGAATATATGTATCTCCGACACCCTTCAGCACATGGGACTTGTGGTTTAGACGTGGATCATGTGGATTTTACAAGGGTAAGAACAAGCTTTCCGAAGGTCAAATCTAATAGCATGTCAAAAGCTCTGAGCTTCACAAAAACTCTTAAGGCAAAGGTGGTATTGTGGTCCAGGACCATTATAGATACTCCAATTTTCAAACCATTATGTAATTGATGTATGTTATTGTATACCTCCACTCTATATTTTTATTACTTATTGTTGAAATGCAATGCCAATATCCTTCCAATATTGGACATGGCTGACTTGACTGGACCATGTTATGTAGTGAAGAAGTAAGAGAAATCAAGAGGAAGACACATAGGAGACTGATTTCAGTCTATTCATGCCAATAGAGTGATATAAACTTTGTATATGGCATGTTTTTCGAGTTACTTAAGGACATCCTAGCTAAGAATTAATCACTTTCTAAAAAGTTGTTTTGATGTTATGCATTAGCATGGAACATTGGAACTCCATGATTACCCGTACTATGTTAAGCACAAGGCTTTAAATAAATTGCTGCTAGATTCTTTTGAAGGAACTAACGCCATTTTACCCCTTAGGGTAATTTAGGCGCTTCTTCTGGAAATTGAAAAGATCTTATTCCTAGATAATGTGACCTGTTCAGGGAAAAGCAATAATTCTTACCACACTTGTTTTTTTTTTCCGGGCAGCTTGTCAGGGAAGATTACACAGAGTTGAAACAAGAAGCGAGCGACCTGCAGGAATATTCGAACGCGAAACTAGACCGTGTGACACGCTACCTTGGTGTACTTGCTGATAAAACCCGCAAGCTAGGTAAATGACCAGTACTTTATCTATGTTTGTATTTAAATGTACAACTTTATATTTTGAGGCTTGCTAGGCCAATCCAGTCCAACCCAACTCAACCCAAATAACGCATAGCCGCATGCGTCTAGGAATTCTTAAAGTGATTATAACTTTATCTTTTCTCAAAAGCCCCAACATTTTTTAAAGATAAGTTGTAATACCCTCGAGAGTGCCTAAAAACGTGCGGCTATGCATTAAGCATCTTGCGATGCCTTTTGCGCTTCATTTTAATTAAAGTAGGTTAATAAAGTTTAGATTTGATATAAAATCTTATCGCAATTATTTGTTTCAGTATCTTGTCCTTAAATCCACAATGATATTTGAGAAATCAAAATTGAAGACTTAGTTAAGAGTCTATTTTTGTACAATTAAGATGCTTATTATTGCTAACTTGTTTGTGTAAGAAAAAAAGATTAATCTTTATTACTATGAATTATTATATTTCAACAATTGTTCTTCTTGTATTTTTTGTTTTATGCATATGATTGCCTTGCTACTACTATGGAATTCAAGTAATGTGTCATCATTAATAGTATACCATATTGGAAAAGTTCAGTAGACTAACTCCCAATGCCCTGTTCCACAGATAAAAGTACATTACTAAACTCTATTAAAAAAATCTATTAATTGCATATTCAAGTATTACGAATTTCTGTTTGCTTCTTCAGGAAAAATGATAATTTACGGATTAAGATAGGTAATTGAAATTTTATCTTGTTTAGAAAGTTCAACTTAAAAGTATTTTATGCTTCATTCTTTTCATTCCCTCTCCTTTTATACCGCTTTTCTAACATGACCTTTTGGAGTGGGAAACAGTGTCAAACACATGTAAGTTATAAGCTTTTTGCACATTTTGTCTTGACTTCTGTAATAGATGGATTAACAAAAAAGACACAGATGCAACTTGAAGTTAGTTCACAACTTTTTATATGTTTAATCAAGTTTCAAAGCCTTTGAGGAAAGATCACTACTGATCTTGTACAGCTGAATTCTTTTTATCTTTTCTTTTGTCTTGTCCTGTCCTTTAGTCTAATGAGTTTTGGTTATGGTGGCTTCTGATTACCTAGCATTCTGATCATATTTTGCATATCTGTTTTCTCTCTCTGCTTATTCAGATCAAGCTGCACTTGAAACAGAAGCTAGAATCTCACCCCTGATATTGGAGAAGAAAAAGTTATATAATGACTTATTAACTGCCCAAGGTATTTAGTTATCTACGCTCCTGGCTTTATTATTCTAGTTTCCAACCTTGTTACTTAAAATGGGCATATACAATTTCTTTTGATAAGTAAGAAAAATAAGCATATACATTATCACTTGCACACACATGTATTCTCAATATACATGAACTGTTCAAATCTAGAAATAAACTATAATCTAGTCTGGGGAAAAAGTCTTTCAGTACTATGGCAGAAAATGTTTATTGCCTTCAGATAGGCGTAGTGATATATCAGATATGTGTATGTAGTGCATAAAATATATACATGAGACCTTATAATTTTTATTTCAGGAAACATAAAGGTGTTTTGTCGTGTGAGACCTCTTTTTGAAGATGAAGGTCCATCCATTGTCGAATTCCCCGATGATGTTACTCTTCGTATCAGTACTGCTGATGATAGCGTAGATAATCCGAAGAAGGATTTTGAGTTTGACAGGGTTTATGGACCTCATGTAGGACAAGGTACTGGGGATTTACCTGTTTCCTTTCTGTACTAGTTCTTGTACGAGTATGTAACTTTAGTAACATTTTTAGTTTCTCTTTGTGCAGTTGAACTTTTTAGCGATGTTCAGCCATTTGTTCAGTCAGCATTTGATGGATACAATGTGGCTATATTTGCTTATGGGCAGGCACACTCAGGAAAGACCCACACTATGGTCTCTCGATCATCTCTTTACTTCTTTTCCTTCTCTTCTCTTTATCTGTTTATTTTGAACAGTGTATGCATTTCTTCTCTTTATGCATTCCGGCAAACTGCAATGGTAATCTGCTTTAAGCTGGCCAACATTTAAATGCATAAGATCTTATGAAAACTTCCCGTTAGGAGGTTAGTTTTCAAAGCTTTGTATATTTGGTTTTGGTTATCGAAATTCAGTGTTGACAGTGTATTTCAGATAAAGTTTAATAATCTAAGTCATGTTGAGCGATGATACAATTGGGACACATTGAATACTTTTGGCCTTTACGAAAGTTTTGATCTTCCAAATACCCATTTAAGCTGTTGGTTTTCTAACTTTGCCCCCTTTGTGCAGGAAGGATCCAGCCACGATCGTGGTTTATATGCTAGGTGTTTCGAGGAGCTCTTTGATCTATCCAACTCTGATGCAACGTCTACATCCAAATATAATTTCTCAGTTTCCATTTCTGAACTTCATAATGAACAGGTTTTATTGATGTCATGTTTATCTTTTAGATTTAATTGCTTTCTCACCTTCGGCATTCTTTATGATGATCCTTTGAGGAATCCATATCTGAAATTTCTGATGTTAGGGCTTTCCAATTACTGCAGATGCGAGATCTGCTCATACATTCTGGAACTGATCTGCCGAAGGCTCGCATGGGATCATTGGATTACTTTGTAGAACTTCTGCAGGAGAAAGTTGAAAATCCAATGGATTTTGGCAGAGTACTCAAATTGGCTTTTCAGAATCGAGGAAGCGATACGTCAAAGTGTAGAGTTTCTCATCTGTATGGTCTAGAACTCTTTCACATTGGTATCTGTGTGTTGCAGTTGATCCTATGCTTTTTCTCATCTATGTTTTATAATGTCACCTTTCTGATCGCTTAATGGTCTACCCATGAGTTAATCTGAAGTCCTCTAAGCAAGCTATCCGTGGAAAATTGAGATATTCTGTCATAAACTGTTTGCAGTTCTAGAAACAACTGTGTTTTTCTGCTGAATACAATTATGTTTTTCTTCGTAAAAGCACTTCAACAGAAAAAAACAGAATTGCGTTTTTCTTCATCAAAAAACAATTGTGTTTCCGTGTTGAGCATGTTCACATTCAAATGGTGCTTTTATTGGGAAAATAGACATGCTCAACATTACAACATATATTTTACTTGATCTGAGGTATCATTAGAGTTGCATCAGTTTGTACACTCATTCTACTCATGACATAATATATTATTGTTATAACCCTGATTTTCTTATGTTAAGTACTGAAAGGAAAGAAAGAAAGAAAGAAAAACAACTCTGTCTCTATTATGTCTCTGTATGACTGTATCTGTGCTTCTTGCAAGGCAAATGCAGTTTCTGTTAGTCAATATGATCCATGTTCTTTTGTCTAGCTGTTCTAATTGCTTGGAGAAAAATATTGATGTGTTTTCCATTTCTTCTAATTATATGTTTCATTGGTCTTACATTCTCAGAATCATCACAGTACATATACATTATACCAACTTGATCACTGGAGAGACCTCATACAGCAAGCTGTCTCTTGTTGATTTGGCTGTAAGTGAAAGTACTGTTGAAGAGGATAGGGGGGAGCATGCAACAGAGTTGCTTCATGTCATGAAATCACTTTCTGCGTAAGTGGTTAATGTCAATTTTTTTTTAATCAATAATACTTTTATTCTTAACCCGTGCATGTTCACTTCCCATGTCTAGGACATAGTGGTATGGAGTTTATGATGTATTTGTTGGATCACGAATGTTTGGTGGAGCAGTTTGCATTTCTGGTTCCATGAATGACCTTCTCTTTGTTCTCAGTCTGTTTCCATTTATGAATTGAAACTCTGAATGCCTTTGTTTAGCTGATGACATTCATGTGATAGTTCTTAAACCAGAAATCAAATATTTGCTTTTTACAACCTATTACATGTTTTATTTCTCAATTTTTATACATGGAAGATCGCTGGGAGAGTTCTAAAGGACAATGCTTATAGGCATGGAAGCTTAAAACAAAGAGGATAGTTGGTCCCACATCAAGCATGTGGCAAGAGCTCCCTAAGTTGCTCGGACACAGGTGCGGGTATTCGACACGGACGCGGATCTAGAGGCTGGATCCTTCGAGATATAAATTCTATGATTCGGGGATATGGATCCTAGTACGGATACGGGTGCGGGGATTCCTACTATAAATAATTCAAAATAATAAAAATATCTCTAAATTATGAGAAATTTTGTGGAATACTTACATATAGCTTATAAAATATGAATTTCTTTTTTTATTGTCAAGTTGTAGATAAGTAAATGATTGATTTCCTAGATAAGGTGTGCTATTTTCTTCAAATTTACCCTAGTTTTGGTTCTGATTTCAGGAATCAAATTGTATATCGTCTCTAATATTTTCGTCCGTCGTGGTCAAAGTACCCAAAATTGTTTGACCAAATTCGGTACGGATCCCATACCCACACCCATACTAGTGTCGTGTCGACACGGGTGCGGCACCTAAACTGCCGTGCCGGAGGGGGCTGATTACATTATAGCTTTTGAGAACATAGTTGGGCGAGGAAAACCAATTTCTTAAAATTTGTTTCTAAAATGATGCTTGTGAAATGCACCCAAGGGTGTGGCCTAGTGGTCAATGAAGTGGGTGAGAACCATGAGGTCTCAGGTTCAAATCCCAGCGGAGGCAAATACTAGGTGATTTCTTCCCATCTATCCAAGCCTTGGTGGATAGAGTTACCTGGTACCTGTTGCTGGTGGGAGGTGGCAGGTATCCCGTGGAATTAGTCGAGGTGCGCGCAAGCTGGCCCGGACACCACAGTTATCAAAAAAAAAATGATGCTTGTGAAATAGTAATAATTTGGGTAATACCCTCATGAAACAATTACCAAATGATAGAAAAAGAAAACTGTGATACTGTGTTTTAGTGATCTTTTTCTGTATATATACTCAGCTTTGATACTGACATGCAGATTGGGAGATGTTTTGAATTCCTTGACATCAAAAAAGGACATTGTTCCATATGGAAATTCAGCGCTCACCAAAGTACTTGCAGACTCACTAGGTAACTAGTTGATAATTATACTGGTCAATATGTTCTTTAATACTATTTTGCCATGTATTGTTCAATATTTTGTTTCATGTTATTCAATTTTGTGATATTGGTAATAGTAATATAAATACATGCATGCAGACATACACATACACGCGCACACACACACATGCTTATGTGCAGCTGTTTCTGCTTTAGTAGTATTAGTTTGTTTGTTTTTTGTTATTTTAAAAGTCGACCTGGGTCGTTTGCGATGGTTCTTCTAGAGATTACTTGTAAACCACTGTTTCTTTCTCGTGGTTAGAAGTAGGTCTCAAGCTATATGACTTGGTAATGCTCACGGACTAGAGCTTGACACACTAGACAAGGTCATTTTTCTTCTCTATGGTGAAGGGCTCTACCGTGATATTCTGTTAACTGATCTTCAGTGAGATTGGAGAGCTCTACTTAGTGTGCTTTTAGGTTGACAACATCTGCTTATCTTTTTATACTCTTCTTCTGTATGACTAAAACTAAATTATTATATATGCTTACTTTATAGCCACCCCAACTAGCTTTGGATTGAGGCGTCGTTGATTAATTGAGATTTGTATTATTGTAATTTCTTATTAACTTTAGATTTCTGCTGTATCATGTTGGGATTGGAAATAATTCTGGAAATCCAACTATCAGATTCTTATGACTGGTGCAACTATCTAAAGCTTAAACATTAAAAAGAAAAGTNGGGGGTTCATGGGACAACTGTCTTTGGCTAGGAGCTTTTAAGATCTTTATATGATACATATATTTCATATCTTTCAACATGGGACACCATTACATTTAAACATGTACCAATTCTAATCATATACTCCCTCCATCCCACTTTATGTGGCGGCGTTTGGCTTGGCACGGAGTTTAAGAAAGAAAGGAAGAATTTTGAAACTTGTGGTCTTAAACAAACCATAGATATCTGTGTGGCTGTAAATCAATTCATTTAGGGTGGAGTAGGAATTCTAAAGATAAATTGTTTCTATATAAGGAAAGGTGACATTTTTTTGGGACTGACTAAAAAGGAAAGAGCGCCACATAAACTAAGACAGAGGGAGTATATCTCAACGCCAGAAAGATGGACTGTGGATACTGGGAACAAAGAACGAGACTGTTGCCTCTGGTTTTCCGAAGCATTAGTTTGTCACCTAACGATAAAGAAGATGACATAGTGTATGATAATTGAGATATGTATATTTGGATCTATCCACCTTACATTTTATCATAAAATATGTGTTTGGCTGGATCTACCATGGCTTGACCAAATAAAAGGGCTTTCTGAAGAGTGCAATTTCTGTATTCTGCCGTTGGACTTGCTTTGAGCAAGAGCCCTTGGTAGCAAGTACCTACTGCTTTTCAGAAAATGCTTCTTTAGTCCAAGATGCTATTATGCTTTCTTGATAAAATGTATTGGTCCAACAAACTATCCCGAGGATAATGTAACACTTTCTTTAACCCTGCATTCTTTACTCACTTTAACCCTGCATTTTTTCTCCTAGAGCTGTGACTTGAGTAGCCCAAGATTCGGAACTCACTTAGTGTGCAAGTTGGTGAAGATATAATTAAGTAAATTAAATTTTCTCTCTCTAGTAACTTAAGCTTTATATAAGCTGTCAAAGGAACAGAGGCAGAGCTGGAGGACTATCCCACTGCATATTCTGGACCATTTGGAGTGAAAAGAACACTGCTTGTTCTGAAAACAAAAGAAATCACATTTCTAGAATAAAGAATTCTTGTGTGCATAACTTGTCTTTTTGGGTGAAGAGGTGTTTATTAGAGAAATATGGATCATCATTATATGGAATTTTTGGATCTGCTATGGAAGATGTAATTGGAGGTTCTTGTGGGTGATGTCTGTTTTTTATGTAATCATGTGTACCATTTTAGCCTCTCTACTCTTCGGGGCAGGGGTAAGGTCTGCCTACACACTACCCTCCCCAGACCCCACTAGTGAGATTTTACTGGGTCGTCGTCGTTGTTGCATCTGTACCATTTTGGTACTTTTATCGATAAAACCTTACCTTATTAAAAAAGAAGACAAAAAGCTTTTATATGAGATGGCCACACAATTCAACACGGTATCTGTGGAGGGCCCTGAGTTCAATTCCCAATTCCACGTGCTTGGTTCATGAAAAAAAATCAAACCTGCACGTGTTGGGAGTGTTGAAGATATAATTAAGTAAATAACAGTGTGCTCTCTCTAACAGTTTAAGCTTTTAAATGAGATAGTCACACAATTCAACACAAGTGATGCTTACAATTTGAAGCTGCATATTGTGCGGATTAGTTGATAATCGAAAACTAGATAAGTCGCTTACGATTTCTTTGTCTGCCATCTGTGTTTGCATCATGGTGGAAAGAGTTAAAATCTTTTGCCTTACTGTATCTTGTGTAAGTGCAACACCACCTCGTAGATGTTTTAACTTTCGTTATTCTGTTACCCCTTGTAAAGTTTATTTGCAGGCTAGATACCTCTAATGTCTTTTCTTCACTTCTTTTTGCAGGTGGAAGTGCAAAAACACTTTTGATTGTTAACATCTGTCCAAATGCTTCAAATTTGTCTGAGACGTTATCGTCCCTCAGTTTTTCTGCTAGAGCTAGAAATGCCATACTAAGCCTTGGGAATCGAGATACAATCAAGAAATGGAGAGATATTGTAAGTGTTGATTTGTCGACCGTGGACAGTCAAACAGGACTGGTGGATGATCCAAGTCCTTGTTCATTTGTTTGCTGTTGCAATGCTTTTTTACTTTGATATAGATGTATCTTACGTGGTGACATTCAGAAATTGAAGTTTGATTCACCCGCGAATTCCAAGTGATCTGTGGGTTGTGAATGCATACGGATATGACACGGCCTCTTGACTAAATAATGGATTTTACTCTTTCCCTTTTGGTAGGCCAATGATACACGCAAGGAATTCTATGACAAGGAGAAAGAGATTATTGATCTGAAGCAAGAAATAGTTGAGCTAAAACAGGAACTGAAACAGGCCAATGATCAAGGAGTTCTACTCTTCAATGAAGTTCAGAAGGCATGGAAAGTTTCTTTTACACTACAGTCAGATTTAAAGGTTTGTGACTATACATGCTCTTTCTTGTTGTTGCCCGTTCTTTTTCATTATTGATCAACTTAAACTTCCGTATATTTTGTTTCCTCAATTTTTTATGCTTCAAGGTGGTTCTTGTTAGGGCAATAGAAGAGTAAAGATATTATTTCTGTGCTATGAAAATTGGACTTATCACTAGTTGGTTGCATGCGTCTCTTAAGAGATTGTGGTGCTATTTTTGTTGTGTGAAATTTGCAAACAATTTACTTTATCTAAGAGAAAGTGTGTATGGCTAACTTTTCTCAGGAAAAGTGTATAGGGTTAACTATTTTTAGGGTCTATTGAATGATATACGCTTACTTAGCGGGGCTTTTGGGTCTTCTACATTCTACCGGAGACACTTACCTTTTAGTCTGCCCTACGCTGTTCTCAGCAATATAATGGTGCATGCTCTCTCTCTCTCCCCTACCCAACCGGGGGTGGGGGGTGGGGTGGGGGTTTGAGAGGCACACTAAGGAGCTTAAAGATATCTAGTGAGACCCACGTAAATAGTTGGAGCTGACTTCCACATATATTTTACATCCCAGAGGGGCTATAACTGGAGATACCCTTTTTTCCGGTACAGAAGTTCCAATAAAAATGGACAAGAAAATGAACCTCTCCTCAACTCATGGTCAACTTTTTTCCTGTGATACAAGCAAAGTCTAAGCATAAGCACTTCTCAACAATTTAGAAGGCCTATGTTAAATGGACCTTGGGCCTAACTCAACTCCAAAAGCTAGCTTATGAAATCCTCAAGACCATATAAGGAGACCAAGGACCTCAAATCCCACCAATGTGGGACAACTCAACACCTCCTCACTCCCAGGCCTGCAAACTGGAGCGTGGACAACATAAATGGGGGCCCAACATCGGTAACAATAATTGGGATGAGCCTGGCTCTGATACCATGTTAAATGGACCTTGGGCTTAACTTAACCCCAAAATCTAGCTTATAAGGTGCGGATTGCCCAAGACCATTTAAGGAGACCAAGGACCTCAAATCCCACAGATGTGGGACAACTCAACAGCAACCTTGATGCCTTTTCAAATTTCTAAGTTCCCTAAAATGTGTGTATATACGGAGACGTGCTGTCTTGAAAAAAATGTAATATCCTTGCGTGCCTATATCCTATGACTGAAAACATACTAAATTCTGCACATTTTTCTCCGTCAGAGACTGCAAGCAGACCTTTGTTTTTCTTTTGTTCTTCTTCTTCCTTCAGCTTTTAGGATTTTACTAAGATATAAACATCCAGACACAAGCTGATCAGTCTCCACCTTGCGTAAAATTTGGCCTACAAAGACTGACCATCTAAGTTGATCTGACATGGCAGTTTAGGTGCCGCACCTGTGTTGACACGATACTAGTATGTGTGTGGGTATGGGATCCGTACCGGATCTGGTCAAACAATTTTGGGTACTTTGACCATGACGGACGGAAAAATTCGAGACAAAATACAATTTGATTTCCGAAATCAGAACCAAAATTAAGGTAAATTTGAAGAAAATAACATACTTTATCTGAGAAATCAATCATTTACTTATCTACAATTTGAGAACAGAAAATAAATCCACACTTTACAAGCTATACGTAGGTATTCCACAAAATTTCTCATAATTTAGAGATATTTTTTTTTTTGAATTATTTTTAGTCGGATCCCCGCACCCGTATCCGTACTAGGATCCGTATCTCCGAATCTTAGAATTTACATTTCAAAGGATCCGACCTCTAGATCAGCACTCGTGTCGGACACCCGTACCCGTGTCCGAGCAACTTAGCAGTGACCATACGCAGTGTTTTAAAAAGCGATCGCTTTAAGCGAGAAGCCGTCACTTTTTCCTACCTGAGGCGACACGACCAGCAAAAGCGATCACTTCAGCCGAGGAAGCGCGAAGCGACGCTGAAGCGAGAAGCGCAAAATCGATCGCTTCTGTCGAGAGGGTTCAATTTTTTTAAAAAAAGTCTGGGTCTTTTTTTTTTAATTATACAAAACAGACCCCAAAGTGAAAGAGACCATTTCTTTCTCTTCTTCCCAAAATCGAACGTTAGCAGCAGCTAGCTAGTGTTCCATTCCAGCCTCCAGCGAGAAAGAGACCCCCAGGTAGTTTTTCTTCTTTTAATCTTCTTTCTTCTTCTTCTTCTCCTTTTCTCTTCTCTTTATCTCTCTTGAAGTCTCTTCTTTCTTCTTCTTCCCGTCCAGCCGTCTGCACAGCTAGGGCATGCGCTGTTTTTTCCCCTTTTATTCTTCTTATTTATTAATTTTTATGTGTATTTCAGTTTATAAAATTANTTTGATTATTTATATTGTCTCTTTGCAAGGTTTACATTATGTTTTTTAAGAATTGCGCTTCACTCCAATGAAGCATGCGCTTCGCTTTTGAAGCGAGGCGAGCCCCTGTCGCTTTTTTGCACTTCTCGCTCTCAAAAGCACTGACCATACGACACCTTCATCATTATCCTACCTAATCAAATTAGCCACTAGCTAAGATTAAGCAGAGTACTCTTTATGTCACAATTCTCTCCTAGTCTCCTTCTACCATGAAGTATGATTTAGCACCAATTATGCTCCTTCAAAGTTCAAATTCTTTGAAGTAAGCTCATTGCCATACCTTTTTTTTTTTTTTTTTTTTTTTTGATGAAGTAAGATAATATCATTGAAATGGCATCAGGAGGATGCCAAATTACAAGAACAGAAATTATGTTAGCTCCCGTACAAAAGACAAAAAACACTGTAAGCTCTAGTACAAGAGTACCTATGCTATAACTAGGGAGCTAACAAAATCCAAAAAAGTGTCTACCCTATTAACAGGGGAAAGAAAGTTTCAACTGAACAAACTAACTAAACATCTAGCTTTTTGGGAATGTATTGGAGTTGATATTCCATCAAAACATCTGCCATTTCTTTCCTTCCAAACAATCCAAAATATGACTGCTGGGATCATTCTCCATATTCTTTTGATGGCTTTGTCAACTCTCCAAAAAATCCAGCTAATATAGGCTTCCTTGATGGTGTGAGGCATGATCCAATTTATACCGACATTAATTCCCTTATGTTGGTACACCTGGGTAGAGGACCAGCTTTTGACTTCTATAACTTCATGTGCATACTCTGGATATGTGAACCGTATCTTTCTTTTAGTTGCCATTAGTGAACCTAACCAATTTGAGGGACTTTCTAGTAGTTGACATGGAATATACCGTGTTAAAACTACATATTTCCCTAATCCAACAGAATACAGTTCAGGCTTCCTCTATCTGTGCAGACTGTAGACTTGTGGTGTTCTTCATAATGCACAGTGGTGCTTGACTATGCATTCTTGCTCTAGAGTTCTACATATTATACTGAAAATCCTATCTTTTCAACATCGCGTAGTCTAAGATAGGGAAAACAATCCCATCCCATTGTCAGTCTGCAGAAGCCAAGAAAACTGAGCTAACAAATTATTTGTATTGAGAAATTTCTTTGCATTGTGACAAAAGGTGGAATCTGTTTTTCCATAAACTTGATCATCTTTCTTTGGCAAGATCAAGACGAGAACCAAAGATGAATTTAAATGGTCGACATGGTGGTGTCTGTTACTTGGTGCTGAAGAATTCCTTTTTACGTGTTTGGGGATAAGGTTTCTCATTGTTTATGTCATTCTTGTGATGTCCAATCAAAGTGATGGTTGCAATAATTACTTGGTCCGCGTTATTTATCGTACGACCGAACTACTCAATAATTAAAAACCTGTAACTTGTCCTGCTGATGTTACTGCTATTACATGTTCTACTCGTATTCTTTTATATCATCAGGGAAAATATTGCTTCTGAAAATATATTGGTGCACTATCTCCGAATATAATAATTTCTTTCCTCTGTCAAACTGATAAAACTCAAACCTTATGTCAAGTCCGGAAGCATGTTATTAAGAAGCTCCTGTGTTTTCCCTCTGATGTAGGCTGAAAATGTTATGATTATGGATAAACTTAAAATAGAGAAGGATCAAAATGCTCAAATTAGAAATCAAGTAGCTCACCTCTTACAGTTGGAGCAAGAGCAGAAATTGCAGATACACCAACGTGATTCAACTATTCAGATGTTGCAGGTTAGTTGCTTAATATACAAATTGCCTTTTGCTCTGTTAGCCGTCTGGTATAATTATAGATGTTATCTTGCTCCATTATTCCACTCATTGTTGCATAGTGCTTGCTAATTTCAAATTGTTGCTAATACCTTTCTCGGCCTTTTGGCTAAGATCAAGTGTAGTATATTCTTATTAGTTTAATACATGATACGATATTAACTCCAATTTTTTAGGGGGAAGGTCCATCAAGGTAGCTTGCTACCTGGGCCTTTCGCGCGTCGCTCGGTCGTTGCACTATATCCCAGGGCTGACGCACCCCACCAAAACAAAAGAAGTTCAAATTGTTATTACGTCAGCCAACAATGGAAAAGGGAAATGCCTTAAACCTATCATACATTTTTCCCTTGAGGCTGGGGGATTATGATCCATTACGATCTTAGACAAAAAAATACAAGGGGGTTATGATATATGTAGACAGCAATGAAAACATTTAAGAAAGAACTTCTCAAACATTTTAACTGTGCAAATTGACTCAGTTCAAGATGCTTGGAAGCTTTCATGTCAAGCAGGTTACAATTTACTTTTGTGCAGGCTCATCCCTGTATGCTAGAGAAGCTATTTTTCTGCAACTCAAACTTGAAAGAGGATATCATTGCCTCGGGCTCACTGTTTTTAATTTTGTGATGGATGCCTATTCAGTCAACATTTGATAGTGTTATTTTAGTTTCTGCAAGTTTACCTGCATGATGATATTTCTCGCATTTTCTGCGGTTTATTCATTTTTTTGATAATGTAAACGGTATTTCACCTCTTATTTTGTGGTAGAAGATATACATATTCCTGCTGCACATGATTCTGCTTGAAGTTTCTGATCACAGCTATATCATAGGCCAAACTGCAAGCTCTTGAATCACAGTTAACTGAGGCAGCACGTGCCAGTGAGGCTAGGTTAAAAGATGGGTCAGAGTCGAGATCATCAGACCAAACTGGTTTGAAGTCAACAAGGGATGACATGGACTCAATAGCTGTTACCAAGAGGCTAGAAGAGGAACTTTTAAAACGTGACGCACTTATTGAGGTAGCATATTCAAGCTGACTGTGTATAAAGTAGTATATGCTTTTGTATTCTTTAGTTAAATTTTGTTGAAAGGATTGACAACGAGGATGATCAGGCTTTGGTCCTTGCATAAGTCTTTCTGGGCCACAAATATGCTTACATAAAAGAAATTTTATCTATACGTTCAATTAGTATCTTCCAGAAATGGAACTCTGAACCTTTTGGGCTTTTTCCTGGTTAGATATATCCTGCTATTCTTTTCAGTCATTAATGTGTCTTTTTGACAGAAATTGCATGAAGAAAATGAGAAGTTATTTGATCGTTTGACAGAGAAAGCCTCTCTAGCTGGATCAACACAGGTAACCATGGTGTCCCAAGTATTTTTCTCGGATGTGCTAGGGTGTTTATTCTTTAGTTCATTTGTTCCTTACTATTGAAGTGTGTGACCATCTCATCTAAAAGTTTAAGTTAGAGAGGGCACGTTTTTATTTTCTTAATTATGTTTTCAACGTGCCCCCTTACGTGCGGACCTAATTCTTTTTGATGAGCCAAGCACGCGAAAATTCTTTTTGCTAATGGGTGGCAGTGAGACTCGAACCCATGACCTCTATCTGCTCCGATAGCATGTTGAAGTGTATGACCAACTCATCTAAAAGCTTAAGTTGTTAGATATGGCACACTTTTATTTCTTAATTACGTCTTCAACACTTACAATGTTGTTTTCTCTTGATATGATGGGCTAAATGGACTTAAAGGTACTTTATATTTATTTAGACATCATTGATGATTGGGAAGAAAACCTGGGATTGAGATTTAAAATTCTCCAAAGAAAACGGAAGTGGCTAGGAGTTCTATACAACTCGGTAAACCCATCATCTAAAAGATAAAATTTTGTCGTGAGAAAGAAAAAAGGGTACTATTTGACAGATTTACCTTACTGGAAAATGGTACCAAGGAACAGAGTGATATTGATTTGTGGGGAAGAACAAACCGAATATATCCTGCATAATGATGTTTAGCCTGACCGGGAAAATGAAACTCCTTTAGTTGCCTATCAGATGTCTTGGATACCATAGTAATCATGATTTGAGATTTTTTGCAATGAATTGAATCTCTCGCTGGTGTTCAATAATCATCCTTGGATTTGAATCTTAAGATTTCTGGTATTAGTCACTTGTAATTATCATGTGAATGTATTTTACTTTTGTGTATTTCTGATCATCTATGCTAAACTGATAGATCGTGTGGCTTGAGCATTTTGCTCTTGGTGAAAGGGTGTGCTTTAGTCTCATCTAGCTGTTACCAATAAATCTCCTCCGTGCCCTTTCTGCAGGTGTCTAGTCCGTTACAAAAGGTTCCAACCGCTCAGGGTAGAGAAACTGGAAGGTGTACATTGTTAATTGATTATGCATTTTCTGATTTCCTTATTGTTTCTCTACTTTCATGGTTCTTAACATCTTGCTTTGTGGGTAACAGAAATGATATCAATGTCAAAGGACATGCTACAGATGTGCTAGCATTGCCATCACCGACTGATAAGTCTGATAGCACTGTTGCTTTAGTTAAGTCTGGTGGTGAAAAGGTCAAGACTACCCCAGCTGGCGAATATCTTACTTCTGCATTGAACGAATTTGATCCTGATCAATATGATAGTCTTGCTGCAATCTCTGATGGAGCAAACAAGCTTTTGATGCTGGTAGGATTAAGAATTGATTTTTTATTTACCTTTTTGCTCTCTGGAGTACGCATTAGGTCTTCATAGTCTGTCCAGAATATGCTCTATTCGGAGTCTTTATGGAAACATCAAGCTCTATACTCATTTTTTTAGCAACTATTTAGAAATCAGGCTGGACTTCTTGATCGGAAAAAAAAAATCAAGCTGGACTTGTTTAAGTATGTGCCTTGATGTCAAAACAAGAAGTAATTCTTTATATCTGTATCAAACTGGATGTTGTCAAATATTTGAATTGATATCAGGTCACTTAATCTTCTCTGAATGATGGTGTGATGAAATCAGCTTCAATTTATTCTACAAATAACTGACCACTTTCTCTGAAACTACTAATGTACTCTGTCCTGCTATAACTACAATGTTTTGGTCTTCATACAGGTTTTGGCAGCAGTCATCAAAGCAGGTGCCTCTAGGGAGCATGAAATACTTGCTGAAATTCGAGATGCCGTCTTTGCTTTCATTCGTAAAATGGAGCCAAAGAGAGTGATGGATACCATGCTTGTTTCCCGTGTTAGGATTTTGTATATAAGATCCTTGCTTGCGAGGTCGCCGGAGTTGCAATCTATAAAGGTAACAGATTCTGGGTGTTCTTCTAGATGTTATTCCAGTGAATTTCTGTGCTGCCTTTATTTGACTGTCAAAAGCAACTGCCAATTGAATTATCTAGGTTTCTCCTGTTGAGCGCTTCATGGAGAAAGCTAATAGTGGGCGAAGCAGAAGCTCTAGCCGTGGTAGTAGCCCTGGCAGATCGCCTATTCGTTATGATTCAAGTAGGAATGCACTGGTTGATGCTGCACATATTCAAGGGTTTAAAGTAAATTTAAAGCCAGAGAAGAAATCGAAATTATCATCTGTCGTACTGAAGATACGTGGTATTGATCAGGTGACTTATATGAATTACAAGCAATGTGCCTGTCCCTTTTCCCAGTCTGCATCTTTTTTTGGTAATGTTTGGTTTATCTATTATCTTTGTATTTTGTCTGGTAGAGGAATGAAATACTTCTTCAGTAGTTTGTGTTGGTAGCTTCTGTTTTCATGGTTTGCATAGGCTAGTGTCGCATTTAGTATGATCCTAGCCAATGGCTAGCTAGATTTCAAGTTCCATGAATTGAAACTTGAAAGGATGAACATCACCTTCGATTCTAGTTCTGCAAATCAGCTCTCAGTGCTTTCTCGTTCCATCTGGTAGTGCACTCACGATATTGTTCGTCCAGAGCACCATCTTCCTTTTAAAAACAGCCAATCTCTGCATCATTTCATAATATTGTTTGATGCCGTGTGAACATGGGGTGATAGTGAAAGTGGTTCTTCACTTGGTACACTAAGCTAACCCTTTTGTTCCTCTTGAATGTGGTAACTACCAGCACTTTGAGACTAAATATGCAGATTTTTTTTTTTAAATCAATTTTCATGTTTGGCTGGCCTAGTACTAATTTAGAAAAGCTCTATATGAGTAGGCAAATATACAGGATACCAATACTGAATTAGATCTTGAACTGAAGCTAGAGTTTGGACAAACGAATTAGGGGCTTGATCACATGTTAGTTAAGCCAACTTCAAAAGTCAGGTACTTGTGTTGGTGGAGGTAGCAGGTACCTGGTGCAGTAGTCAAGGTGCGCTCAAGCTGGCCCAGACACCATCATTATTAAAAAAAGTTGATCGTGTTGCTTGTATTATTTTGATTTATTTATTTGTTATTTTTTCCCTCTCCTGTCTCTAGCTTTTTATTTGTGCATGTTAATCTATTTAACATTTAATTGTTAATGGCTTATGTGACTTAGATTTAATCATATAGGACATACAGAGGCAGCATGTAACTGGTGGAAAGCTTAGGGAGATTACTGAGGAAGCTAAAAGTTTTGCGGTTGGGAACAGAGCTCTTGCTGCTCTGTTTGTACATACTCCGGCTGGCGAGCTTCAGCGCCAAATCAGAAACTGGCTCGCCGAGAACTTCGACTTTCTTTCTGTCACTGATGACACAGTTGGTGGAGCGACGGGTCAGCTAGAGCTTCTCTCTACTGCAATAATGGATGGATGGATGGCTGGACTAGGTGCTGCAGTGCCCCCTAACACTGATGCACTTGGTCAGCTCTTATCTGAATATGCAAAAAGAGTTTATAATTCCCAACTCCAGCACTTGAAGGTACTTCCATGTGATCTTTGGATTTTACTCCCTGCATCTCATACTACTAACCTCTTGCTTTTTGCCTATGCCTATTTGCTTGAACCCTTTCAATGAGAAACTTTTCGTTGGGACATACAAGAGTTGTGCATTATATCATCTTAATCTTCAAATGACATCTTTCTATTTGCTTCTACTTCTTTTGCATTTCGAGCTATTATATTATCACTTGTCTTAACTAAGGATAAAGCCCAAGCGTTGGAGGGGCGGTTGTCGGCTATGGGAGCTTGGAGGAGCAGTGGTGACGCGAGCACTATGTGGTCAGCGACAACAGACTGTATTAGGGAGGCTACGAGAGAGGTGCTAGGGGTCTCGACGGGCGTCTCTGGTGGACACAAAGGAGACTGGTGGTGGAATGAAGTGGTCCAAGGTAAAGTGGAAGCAAAGAAGGCGGCGTACCTGAAGTTAGTTGGGAGCATAGGTGAGGAGGAGAGGCGAGTGTGCATGGGGTGGTATAAGGCAGCTAGGAAGGATGCTAAGCTGGCGGTCACAGAGGCTAAGACTGCGGCTTATGGTCGTATGTAC